GATCTTTGTCGCTGTTGTTCGTTATTGACCTCTTTATCAGATGGATGTTAAGAATGTTTTTCTTAATAGCCATCTCACTGAGGAGGTTTACATGCGTCCTCCCCTGGCCTTCACCATTCCTTTGGACAAGTTGGTCGCCTTCGGTGTGCTCTGTATAGTTTGAAGCAATCTCCTTGTGCTTGGTATGATCGCTTTCAGACTGTTGTTACTGAGCTTGGGTTTTATCCTTGTGCCCAAGACTTTGTTTTATTTCTTCTTCACACCTCTGCTGGATTTGTTACGTTATTACTGTACATGGATGATATGATCATCACTGGTTCTGACTCTTCTGTTATATCTAAGGTCAAACAGTATCTTTTCCGCACCTTTAAAATGAAGGATCTGGGCCCATTGCAGTATTTTCTTGGTATTGAGGTAAATTCTTCTCCCAAGGGCTACTTTCTCTCTCAGGTCAAGTATGCCAATGAGGTTATTCATCATGCCAATCTTACTGACACTAAGATTTCTGATACCCCTATTGAGCTTAATGTAAAGCTCAACACTACTAATGGTGCTCTTCTGGATTATCCTACTTTATATCGAGAGCTCGTGGGTTACTTAGTCTATTTGACAGTTACTCGTCCTGATCTTGCCTATATTGTTCATGTGGTTAGCCAGTTTGTCTCTGCTCCTCGCTCCACACATTGGCCTGCCTTGGTTCGGATTCTTTGCTATCTCCGAAGTACTATCTTTCAGAGTTTACTATTGTCCTTTACTTCCTCTCTAGATTTGGTGGTAATTGGGCTGGTGATGTTATTGATTGCAAGTCTATGTCTAGTTTTTGTATGTTTCCTGGCGATTCCTTGATCACTTGGAAAAGCAAGAAACAAACTGTCGTTGCTCACTCTTCTGCCGAAACTTAGTATCATGCTATTACTGAAATTGTCTGGCTTCGTTGTCTTCTCTCTGACTTAGGCGTCCCTCAGTCTTCTCCGACCTCCCTCTATTGTGACAACCGCAGTGCTATTCAGGTTGCACATAACACTGTCTTCCATAAGCGGACCAAGCACATTGAGATTGATTGTCACATTATTTGTCAGCATCTGCAGTCTGGTTCTATCTTGCTTCCTTTCGTCTTTTCAGCTCTGCAACTTGCTGACTTCTTTACCAAGACTCACACCACTACTCGGTTTCAGTTTCTTCTTGGCAAACTCTCAGTGTTTTCTGCATAAACACCTTGAGTTTGAAAGGGGGTGTGAGAATAATATTAGTTAAGGTTTATTCTTGTGAATAGTGTTTCCTATTTAAGATTAGTGTAGGTTTATTCTTGGTTTCCTATTTAGAATTAAGTCTAGAATTGCTATATATAGCAGATGTACTATCACGACCGGGTCCTTATTTTCCTTCTTTTCTTTCCTTTTCACTTCGTCCTCTTTTGCTTTCATTGAGTTTATAACGTCCGGAAATAATTCTTGAAAATTTAAGTCCTTATTCTTGTTGTGTTCGATGTTGAGTATCATTTGTTCCGGGAGGTGCGGGGTCAAGTCCGGAGTGCCCGGGAGCGAAGCAAAAAATTTCTGGGCTGCTGGGCCAGGGCCGCACGTGCGGGGTGGGGCCGCACGTGCGATGAGGGTTGAACGTGTGGGGTGGGGCCGCACGTGCGGTGAGGGTTGAGTTTCAGTAGGTTGCATTCTGCTTAAAAAGCACGAGCAGAGAGTGGTGTGGGAGAGCCACCGCACGTGCAGGGGTGAGGGCCGCACGTGCGGGGATGGGCGTCGCATGTGCGGCAACCTGGGCAGTCCAAAACTCTATTTTTTTTCTTTTTTGATCCGAATGTGTATCTCATTTTTGACATTTCTCTCACTCTAAACCCTATTTTTCTCCTCCTCCTCTCTAGAAAACCTCCTCAAACACCAAAATACTTTGATCCTTGCAAATCTTGAGTCAAGATCATCATCATCTTCCTCTAATCTTGAAGATCAAACTAGGGCTCCTCTTGGTATAGTGAGCGTTGAAAAAATCCTCCATTAAGCTAGGGTTTCTTCTTCTCCATCATCAAGACCTTGAGGTAGGGACATTCTTGAGTTACATATACATGTTTTGCTATATTGTTGATGATTTAAAGGTTTTTTTGAAATTTTGTGTTAATTTTACATTTTGGTTCGAAAGGTAGAGTTTTAAATAGGGGTTTCCAAAACTCAATCCTTGTTACTCCTTGATGGTTATTCATTAATAAAGCCTAAGGAATGTGATTTTAGTGGGGTTTTGGAAAAATAGAAAATATGCTTTGAAATTCTTAATTTCTTGTGTCAAGAGGATGAATAAGAGTAAGTTTCATCAAATGTGTAGCAAAATAGCAATATACTTGATAGATTAGAAATGAGATGTTATTTTAACATTGTTGCTAGCACTTGAACTTGTAATGTTGTGAGATAACAATTGTTGAGCACCATGAATTTTGAGAACTGAAATCTTGGAAGTTGATGTTCGAAAATTTCATATAGTCTTGGAATGGCTAGAATGTTGAGAAATGTTCATGGTGAGAGGTTTTTGCTATGTGTTGATAGCATCGTTTGAGCATGTAGTTATTTTGTGAGATGGCATTGGAAGAAGGAAAAATGAAGAAATGTTATGGAATGTTAAATTGTTGTATCATACTCTCATTTAAATTCTTGTTATTATTGTCCCTCTTGACATGAGGTAGAAAACATTCACATTGAGAAAAGTTATATTGAAATGAAATCTACGGAAATGTTAAGGGGGTAAATACGTTGGTAAGTCCGGTTAGGCGGTGTAGAAGATTGATAAGTTGGCCTGAGTGTCCGGGGTGAAAGACCGAAAACACGCGCGGAGGAGGTATCACTTCCCTTCCGGTTAGCAACTGGTAAAGTGGGGTATTGGTAGAGCTCGTAGAGCCTACTTGCAGACACCAACCTAGAGATTACCAGTGTCGTATTTACCGCCCCTATTGATTTAAATATTAGAAGTTTTGAAATTGATGAGATTGAAAGATATTATTGAGAACTTGGTAATTTTCAAATGGTGCACTGGAATGAAATTCCTCTTTATTATTGGCATTTGCATGGCGTTACCTTTGCATTTTTAATTGTTGAGGGAATTTGCATAACTGTATATACTTTGTGGGAATTCTCTACTGGGCTTTATGCTCAACCTTATGGGATTTGGTGCAAGTAAAGATGTGGCGATCCTGCCAAATTGAGGGTGCGGATATGTTCGTGTGAAGAGTAGATTACTCTTTATTTTGTTGTGAATTTTGGTAAAGCCGAGGGCTATTTTTGTATGGGTCCGAGAGACCACTTTTGTGTAACCGGGCTTAAGCCTCAAAAGTTGTAGCCCGTGAGGGCATTTTATTTATCTTTAGACTTGACGCTCTACATGTTATAGATTCATGTTTTTTTTTTTTTTTAAATCATTGAATGTATAATTTACATGTGGAACCCTTGTATTGTATAAAACTTGGAGATTTTGATCTAAAGGTTCGTGAATGATGTATCTATTTAATGAATGAGTTTTGACGTATTAAATATGTTGGATCATTTCGGGGCGTTACATGTACACATTGTATTGAAATACAATTGAATATACGAGCTTATTCAGAAATTTGTACACCCCCAACATCAAAGGTGTTTCCAACAAAAAATGCTTCGGTCTTCTGTACATAAAAACACTAGAGGATCACATCTATGTACCAACCAGCCTAATGTATACACTGAAGTGAGAGTTTGTGGAAGGTTAAAGGTTTTCTTGAAGGTATTTTAGGTGCTGAAGTGTTATGCACAATTTACATCATTGTGTAAGGTACAAAGTAATACTCTTACTAAAATATTTAGCGACTGCAAAGTTGAAAACTTCTAATTGGTGTTACACTTGAAGTGTGCAGTAACAAGACACATATAAGGAATGCCAGCAAATCAATAATCAAGATCATTAAACTACGAAGCATGGTCATGGGCATGGGCATGCAACACGACACAGGCACGTTGAAACAACAATTTTCAAAAAATGCACGACACAACACATGGGGGACATGCATAAAATATATAATTAGTAAAGAAATGCATTATATAACACTAATTTATATCGCTTTTCTTTTATTATTTTATCTTTAGTTATTTTGTTCAAATTTATAATTAGTTTCATGCATCTAATCGATAGACACGTGTTTAAGTGACGAGCAAGGGTGTCCTCCAAGTGTCTAGGACTAAATTTAAAAAAAAAAAAAAAAATCAGACATGTTTTTGACAAGTGTCAGACACATGTCAGGAAGTGTCCAACACGGACACAACACGACACGGACATGCCACCATCTTATAGAAGTGTTTGTACTTCGTAGTCTAATTTAATAAAATATCCACTTCAGTTAGCAATGCATATAAAGTATAAACATCTCATTGTGAGAACACATGTCACTGCCAAGTCCTTGCAATTAGATCGACTTTAAAAATATAAATTTTAAATTTTAAAAATCCCTGAAAACAACGTTTACCTTTCAAAAACCAGATAACAGCTTTCAAACAGAATTATTTAGTGTAAAATTTAATGTATAAAGAGAAATAGAGAGAGAATAAATTGTATGTATTATTGATTGATATTTGTAATTGTTATTACAATGATTCATGATTCCTATATATAGAAGAGGGTGAGTGTGTAGTAGGTAAGGAGTAGGTGAAGTGGAGGTGGTAGTGGTGTAGTGGGTTAGGTTTAGTGGAGTAGGTGAGGTGGTAGTGGTATAGTGGGTTAGGTTTAGTGGAGTAGGTTTAAGTGGGTGAAGTAGGTGATAGGTGTTAACATTTAGTATTCATTTTATCAGACTTTCCATCCTATTTGGATTGCTGCTAATCACTAATTTAAGAATAATAATAAATAATAATAATAACAAATAAAAAAATCACACATAACAAAGCAAGTACAATTTCTTTACGAAACAAAATATAGCAAATGCAAGTTGACAGGATAGTCATGCAATCCAACATAAGTCCAACAAGACTTGGTATGATTACCTCCAGAACCTCAACAGCATCAATGCTAATGAAAGGGTCTGAAACATGTGATGCCCACAAGTTAAGAATGATTGGAGAGATAACTGGCTCTATAGATGTTGGTGCTTCATCATCTACAATAAGCAAAACACAAAACAAAGAGAATGACACTCAGCAAAAGGAACATGAACAGCAAAGCCAACATCCAAAATCACTAGATGTCCAATGAATTTGGAAGACAATTGATTCTAGATTTAAACTGCTTTGATGCCGACCTGCCTTTATTGCTGCTTGTAGTGTTTCAAGTACCAGATGCATGGTTTCATCAGATGCCTACAAAGCAGTATAACATTTAAGTATTAGATGCATAACTTCAACAGTAGAAGGAACTATTGTATCAGTGCATTACTTGATTAAGAAGATCTGCAAGTGACGAAAATAAACCCATTATATGAGGCTGCAGCATTCCCTTGTTTGCATCAGGTAAGAGCTGAGAAAGTGCACGACAGGCACCAACTTTCACTGGTGGGGGCCTGTAGACAGCAAATTATCACCAATAGTGTCATTATCTTATCAATAATTAAATAGCAACATACAGATACAAGCACTTACACATCCATGCCAATTGCCTTAATAGCAGCATAAAGAATATGCTCAACAACCCCACGACTGATCTGTACAAAACAATATAAATTCAGTGTGAGAAGATTATGCTAGAGATAATCATAATAACAATAAGGACTTTTTGTGATAGTTACCACAGAGGAGAACTTAGCGACTGATGAAAACACGCGTGCAAACAGAAAGGGATATTCATGAACCCCTGCGCAATAGGCAATACAACCAACTTTATTAATGGCTAACAATATGAATGCAATTTTGAAAAACGATTTACCTGTTCCCGCATCTTCGGCAATTATTTGCTCAAAAAGGTTTCCTAAATTGGTCCTAGTATGTTCAGACACCTGTAAACCAAATTATATTAATTAAATATACCGAATAGAGTTTCCTGTGAGAAATGCAACTATAATTCTGACAAAGTGAATGATCGAGTTTGACATCCTGCTCATTATTCTTACAATTATCCTAGAATCTTGCACATTAGCACTATACAAGTACTTTGCTCAATTATAAAGAGGCAATAAATTTATAACAGACCTCTGCTTCAAGCAACTGATCTGATAGAGAAGCCAAACCATAAAGTGTAGCCTCCCTCATCTGCCAAAATTTACAATCCGAAATTGAGATAGGAAGTTCAATTATCATCAATACAAATATAATTGAGACGGCCAAATAACTCACTCTCCACCAGGCAGCAGAACCAGCAACTTTTGCTTGTTGAGACTCAGCGAATCGATTTTTTGCAGCATCAATTATAGCATCAATAGCCTCTATACCACAAGAGTTAATAACCTCTTCCAGTAAAAGAGCACCTGCAAGAAACAATAAATAGGCAAGAGTGCTATAAATTTCAAGAAACTGTCAGAAAAATTCAAACTAAAATATAAATGAAAAGAAATAAAGGCAAAATACAAAATGAACATAAAAAGAAGAGATTCCACATTTTCATCGTTGAAAGTTTTCATACATTAACCAAACATAATAATCCAGAACAATGAAATACCATACCACAATTTAAACACATACACAGGCAGAGAGAGAAGGCCATTTAATGTAATGACTATATACGTCATTAACAAGCTAATAATTGTGATGATGGAAACGTATAGATGACAACAATAAAACACAAACTACATAAAGTTCAGCAACCAGGCTGCAAGAGCTTAAAACAACACTTCAACAAGACTATGATTCAAATTATTGTTTCTGCAAACCAAGCTACTAATACACGTACAAATCTTGAAACAAATTGATGGCCTCAACAAGAGTGAAATTACAAATAATTAACAATCCCCAAAGCCATGAAAGAGGTGATAAGAATAAAAATATCAAATCAGTCTTGCAGAAAAACACTAATTCCCATGCACAAAAAATAGAAAGAAAATCTCAGTGTAAGGCATTTTCATGATAGATGTATCAAGTTGGTTGATATAGTAATGCCAAAGTCCTGCTCCGATGTAATCCTGACTGAAGCTAGTTTTGTACTTGGGTCTGAGAAAGGTTTCTAGCCAAAGAATTACGTTTATCAGAAAACCTTTTCAAGTTTCTTCTCTTTGCACTGTCCATCTCCTGTCGCGTCACAACACTTCACATGCATCAAATCCCAAGTATCAAAAGAGTTTCTAGATCAAAAGGAGCCAATAAGTTGCCACGAAGAACTCAGAACCTTAGTGACATCAGAGTCCATACTCTGAAGCCAGTATCTTAATGATAACACCACCTGGTCATCATTCTCATTATAACTTACACACGGGGTATCTAACTTAACAATACATTGGTAGGAGGGTAAACTGGAAGTGCTCTACACAGTGACTATTTATTTAAATTGATAAGAAGCCATGGAGACATTTTGCTGTCTGTTTGGACAGAAAAAAAGAAAGGAAAGTTTCAGGGAAATAAATCCCTACGGACCTAACCAAATCAACCACCCAAGCCAGAACACAGGATGAAGAGGAAATACCTCAAGAAATATCTAAATACCTCAGAAACAACTTACCAGAAATACGACAACTATAAGTATTGTCATCTTCATCAGCCACATATTGGTTAGCATCCAGCGACCAAGTATGAACCTAGACACACGTCAGATACGATGAAAAGAAGTAAATAGTAGAAATGGGGATTTAAGGGAAAAAATAGTAGCAAATTTAAAGATTTAGATTCAAATAGAAACCAGAAAAAACTATCTACACAAAAAAATAAATAAATAAATCAAAAGAAAAAGAAAGAAAGAAAAGTAAAAGAGATTAATCATTTCTCGCAATTGTTAAAAACTGTAAACATTAGTAAATAAGAAGATAGGATAAGTGAGAAAATCAAGAGAAAGGTTTTTAATTCAAAAGTTTTCATTCTACTCAGAACTGCATTGCAATCTGCTTCTCCTGATTTCTACGATTTTCCAATGAATTTAAAAATCATGGAATTTAAATGTCTTGTAGTAATTTTTCCCTGATATCACCAAGAGAGCCAAATTCACCAAATTTCTGAAAAATCAGCCAAACTTCTATTCGGATAAATAAACAGTATTTACATTACTAGATTCTGAAATTGAACTTTGCAAAATTTAGCCAAATATCCATTCAACAGCTTTTCAGCTGAGCTCTTTATTAACTTGAATTTGACTGCATTCCTAGAATTGAAATTTCACCTAATGTAAATTTTTTCACAACAAATTTAAAGCCATATGATCAAGAGGAAAAAACATCAATGTTTGGATGATTTTCATTTGAACTCACAAGTATAAAGCCCAGCACCTTCTAATTGGGCAAATAGGTCATCTATATCTATTTGCTACATGGGAAAGCACAGGTCTTCAAGCATGAATCAAGTCACCGTTCACAAAAAGGAAAGCGTCAGCTCCTCTCCATTCTTTTGATTTCTAATAATTCAATTGTTTGTAATGAACAAAGAGATCTGATGGAACCACTTGATTTATTTTCTGCTGGAGCTTAGTTCTCAAATGGTAGGGTTATAAAACCTTACACCAGTCATTTATTTTATGAACCACTTCACTATTGTCTCAATCGTCCTACTAATTGCATGTTCCATTGTTTAATCTCACAAAAAAACATGTCTATTAATTTCTTTAATGAAAAGAAGTATATGCCTATCAGCCATTATAACAACAAAATTGGTCCAAAGCATTATGGCCAGAAGCAACTATACCGCAGCATCCCAAGTAGCATAGAACAGACACTCGACATGACACAAACAAGCCGACAAACCAATTTTCCAAAAATGCATGACATGATAAGCCTACAACACGTTAAAATTTTAATTTCTTTAAATTTATTATATGTCAAATATATGAATAGTTCATTCAAAGGTAATGAAAAAGAAGCAACACTAACTAAAATTAAAAAGTATTCCATAAGTTAAACATCAAAATATCGTTCATGTAACAACTGCATTCTACAAAATACAAAACAATCATATAACTTGGAAATATATATGATATAGTCATCTAATAAATGTTTCATAAGATATTTAGAGCGCATAGGTTGCATTTCGAAAAATGCAAAACACTGTTATTGTGAAGAGATTCATCACATAGGTCGAGGATTCAAGAATCGTCGTGGAAGTGTCTGAAAAGTGTCTTCAAAATGTTTGACACTATGAAGTTAAATTTGTAATTAAGACACATTAAAAGAAGAGTTGGACACGCTTTTAAGAGTGTCCGTAGAGTGTTGTGTCAGATGACATGCCTCTTCCGTAGAAATATTTGTGCTTCTTAGGCATCATCTTGCTTTGCAGCCACCATAAAACCATTGCATGCCCATCATCACATGAACCCTATAAGAGGGTTCAAAAGCCCCTTCTTTATTATCCACATTTCTTGTGTTCCAAATGTGTATATTTCTAGAGAAAAATCTAAAAATTCAAGGAAAAGTACAAATCAAAGAAACAAAAAGTGTTACATCGCTTAGATGTCCCAACTGCATGCAAGATCAATTAGGTGGTTATGATCAATCAACGCTTTCATGAGGATAAGTATTCAAAATCTTTCTGATTGCTTAAATAGAGAAAAATCAGGTATATTTTTTGTTATGCTCTACACAGTGACTATTTATTTAAATTGATAAATTAGCAGAAGTAAATAACAAACACAACTATATAAGTTGACATCTAAAAATAACAACTCAAATGTTGATGAAGTAGAAAATCAATCACATAGCATGGCTTGTATGAAGTATGAACCAAACTAAGATAAGCCAATTACAAGATTACCTGTTGTTCTGTCATCTGCAGAAAAGCAATAGTATAATATGCCAGCTCTTTAATATTATTGGCAACAACCTACATAATTCACCATGTCATACAATATGCAAAGAGACAAAGCAACCAAAAGAAACTTCAAGATTAAGGATTTTGGAACACACCTTTACAAGTTTTGCGCTACCCACAATGATCAATAGAAACTCAAAAAGCTGCAGATTCAGATTTATTTAAGAAATTAATTGACCACAAGGCCAAAATTGAAAGGACTTAACTGGCAATCACATACACGTCCATACTCGCAATAATAATAATAATAATAATAACAACAACAACAACAACAATAGGAAGTTGTTTGAGATGGTTTTTCCATGTGCAATGTAGACAAACCAACGCATCAGCTTGGAGCATAGTTATCAAATCGAGAAATCATATCATGAATTGAAACTCCAATTTTGTGAATCGTGAATCATAAGATTCAACATAAACTATAAAAAATGACACGAAAAAAAATTAATTCATTTTGGCACATACTATAATTCTTTTATAAGAACATGATGATAGTGAGCTAAAATGGTGGTGATGATTGGTTTAGAAACCCGAAGTAATGTGATTAATGGAGAAGAGCAAGAAGGTGGTGGTGGTAGGTCCATGTGGGTGGTAGTTATTGTGGACTAAAGGCAGTAATTATTGTGAAAATATTGATGCGTGTCGTAGTTATTGGGAAAATGTTGATGTGGTCCAAACATACAATAAAATTGTTTGAGAGCGCTTTAAAATGATAGGAAAATTGTGATCGAATCATAGTTGTCAAATCAGGATACAAATTGTGTATCGGATTTCTTCTTCTCCTCCTTTTTTTAATTGCATATTGTATTGTATCATGTATCCTAAGATTTTTTAACATCTTTAAAAAATAGGTAGAAAACTAAATAATGTTATACAAAACACAAATATCTTGCGAGTATAATCCTTAAAATTGCAAAGTCTTTGAAATAATTATATGCATGCATCAATACTTCATGGATATAAAATGCAGACAAAAGATAAAACACTTCACTACATTAGTATATCCTCAAATCAAATTTGCACTCAAAAGTTTTCTCATTCTTAGTAATTGAATAATATGTTTTTCATATTGTCATCACTCACCATTTAGGTTTTAATTTAATTTACAACTTTTAAGTTCTCAAATAGCTTGCCCATGGTAGAAAACTTTAAACTTTAATAGGTGTACGTAGGCATAAATCAATAACACAACATACTTAGTATCAGCCAAGTAGATATTTGTCAAAAAGGTAGAGAAAAAAAATTACCCTTCTCATCTCAAAAATATTCTTCTTTTTTTTTAATAACTAACTCAATAACAATTTCTAACAATATTAATTCACATAAAAATTGTTCAATTATTATTTTTCAAAATTGCTTAAGAAATTTAAGTATTCATATTGTGTACCATATTTAGCATCCTCTATTGTATATCTATCATTTTGTAAAATACATTTAATTTACAATGAGTATTGGTTATACATATCGATTTACCTCTAAAGATATTGAATCATAAAATATGTATCATGAATTGGAAGATACTAACAACACTTCTAGGGCACTTGTTAAGAAGTAATTAATTATTTTTATTGCATTTAAATTGTTAAATAATTATTTTTATATATTAAAAGGTGAAATATTAACTATAAGGTAGTTGTATACAAATTCAAAAGTCATTGAAACATTCAATAATGAATGCAGTCAATTAATGAGTAGCTAAAAATAGAAACTTATTAATTTAATGAGTAGTTAAAATTATAAACTTATCAAAATCAAGGCAAGTTAATACAGCATTAAATACACCTCAACTAGTGCCCCATGCTACTTGTTAGCATTAGCCATAAATAAATCGATAAAAGGTCTTTTATTCACTTCCAAAAGAAAAAATGAAACCCTGCATATTTATTTTCACGAAGGGATCGTGAAAATTTTACTGTGTCAAATCAGTCCACTATTTAATGGATCAAAGATGCACTTTGTGTGCCTTGATGTTGGGATTTACGCTCTCAAACCAATTGGATTCCTGCATTTATTTATCCAGTGAAATAAATATTATTCTGAAATGTTTTCATACATAATAGACAAGACATGATTTATGAGAAAAATGGTTTAACCCTTTAGTGACATTGGATGTGATTTATGTAGATGAAAAAGTTTCACTAACAAGATAAATAAATCACAAGTTTTATAACTTCGAAATTTTGCAATTGCTAATACACCTGGAGACTATTAGGATAAGTGCAACATTATTAACCCCTGTGCAAGAGGATGGTGTATCTCAACCATTGAAGTGAAAATCTCCGGGTGAATATGTTGGTTTATTTGAAATACACTGAAGGACTACAATAAGAGTTACACCAAGCAAAACCTACTGTCAACTTTGATGTAAATTTTTTAGTACCCAATGCAATAGACTATTAATCCTAAGAGATGTTATGAACTCAAGTTCCTTGTCAAGATCACTTTGATTAGTAATGATGAGGTTTTATTACTTAGCCAACACCTCACTGTATTGGGTGATTAAGGTGAGTTGTGGGAATAATTTTTTCAAGATGGAATCCACCCTTTGTGTAAAAACAAAGTAAATTTGAGTTAGTTCACTTGTTTAGTCATTTGAATCCAAGACTGGTCATTCTTATGATTTGTTCATTAGAATACAAGTGGTGACTATGGTGTGTGAACTAGTACTCAATGTAAATGAGTAAATTTTGATTAGATGAAAAATTTATATCTACTTCATTGCTAATTATGGACATGGCTATGGTGGAGGGGTTGCATTATGGTATTGAAGCACATAGATTATTATTATTATTATTATTATTATTATTATTATTATTATTATTATTATAATGAACTCTTTGAAGACGAGTGCAATTTCAATTATATAGTGGAGTTAATTACAATTAATTGGTAATTCATATCCTTATGAGATAAGGTGTAGAATCCAACTAGAGCAAGAATTTAGAGAGGCCATTGAAGTCCCAATCCAAGCCTCCCTGGGAAAATATCATAATACCTATATGTGGCACATGCGATGCATGTGCATTATTTTAATACTAGCTTGCGTGCAATTTAGATAAGTAAAAATAAAAACAAACAATAAAGAAATTAATATCATAATATGTATGTTGCCTAAGTGATAAGAGTGTTCTTAATAAAACCTAAGGTCTAGGGTTCAAAGCTTGCTCACGCCTTTGAATTATAATTTTTTATTTTAGGCTAGATAAAACTGCCACGCGACATGACGTGAACGCTTGGACACCAAGTCCAACCTTCATTTAATAATAGTATATGGAAGATACATAAAATAGGTTTGTTGGGCCCACTAAAGAATTGTGTCACCATTCCACGAAGCCACCATCCCACTAACCTCAATAATGCATTACCTTCAGACATCTTCCATTATAATATTATATACACATAATATTTTCATATTAAAATACTCCACACCAACAAAAATTTTTTAGGTACTATGTTTACTAATCTTATTATTATTGTAATATTATAGGAACCAATATTTGATTCTTAAACATGGCATTGACTTTTATGTTATTGTGTATTTTTAATTACCTTCTAATGATTTTTTATTTTTATTTTAGACATATAATAAATAAACATAATTATATCTATTAAGCATGTCCCCAATGTATCGTGTCCCCTTTTTTTTAAAAATTTGCGTGTCCGCGTATCCGTGTCATGTCCCATGTCCATATCCGTGCATCGTAGGAGGTCCCTACCTATTATTGAAACACAAGGCAGTTGAGTGCCACTGCCACATTACAAAACTTTGGGGGAGATCAATGTTTCGTATTATCTTGATGCTTTCTCAAAAAATTAGGATTATTTATCCAAAAAAAAAAAAATTACCTCCTCTTTAGGATTGCAAGCCATTAATTTAATTTTATTTTTTTACATATGAATTTATTTAATTTAACTAAGCGTCTAGCCCTTTATAGAGCATAATAGGAAAAAAGGATTCATATAGCCGATTACACTTGCTTGGGACACAACACAATGCTTAGTTTGGTTTGGTTTGGTTTGGTTTGATAAAGGCAAATATAGGCATCAAATTGAAACTACATAAATTCACGACCTGTATTTGATTAAAAATAGTTACTAAGCTGAAAAGCCACTAAGTAGAAAAAAATGTGAATGCAATCATGGGACGTCTATTGTCACAAACCTTCAATCAGATGTTTTTTCTACTAAAAAAAAAATTAAATCAAATTTGCAAAAATGGACCATTTACCTGGATAACAAAGGACTCAAGACTTTGCTCTGCACCATCAGAATCGTATCTCCCTTCATAGGAATCTTCTGTACCCTCAATTGCTGATCGCTCATATACTCTAAGAGATGATACAAATGTCTGCCACAACGGACCCATAACAACTGAAATAACAAAGCACCACTGAGAGACAGATTGAATGAAGGAGAGGAAGAATCAAGGAGCAATACTCGAAGGCATCTGGAATATATGGTTCATCCACTGAGAAAGATGAAATGACAAACATACCCATGAATTGCATTTCTGTGAGGCTCGGGAAATTCTGAACAAATTGATTCAAGCACTTCAAAACCTGATGTTGAACAATGTAAAAAAGAATATTATGAACTAACTGTTCATTCTAATTTACATACATGATGATGGTAGATTTTGACATCAAAACACAAACCCAACCTCCATTCTGATGCTCCAGTCATCAGGATCTTCAGATTGAACTGGAGGTTCCATGATAATAGAGAACTGATCCATCCATGTTGCAACCATTGGCGATATTAGTGCACTGGTTTCTGTCTAAACATAGAGAATTACTAGATCAGTCATTTAATAACAAAGACAAATTTTATGCAATGTCTGACTATAGACATTGTAAAAATCAGTACTAAGAAAATACCTTATACACACCACTCATTGCCCCCAGCATAGCAGTGCAAGAATAAACTATTGAAAGAGCCTTTGCTCGCAAAGTTTTGTCATAGATCTGCACAAAAAGTTCCACAATCAAATGGAGCTGCAAGGATGCTTATCTACATAATGGCCAAGAGGAAACAAGAATCCTCAGGAAGGTTCGTTTAAGAAGAAATTATCTTTTTAACTCTCAACAATTCTCAGGAAGTTATGCTTATTATCAATTCCTGGCATCCCATCCATTCTCTTGCAAACCACACCTACTTTTAATCACCTGACATAAAACAAAGTTTTCCTTTTCCAGATATGTCTACAAACCCTTAATAACAAGGGCTTTATTCTGACAGACTACACTGCCAAAGCCCAATCTCTCACTAATGCTTAACTAAACGCTAAACAAAAGAAAATTACTTTTAAGCCCTTCTAGGTCAATAGCAAAAGCAGCAGGGATTTGAAACCAAGAAAAAGACAAAACCACGAAGCGGGTTTTTTTTCTGTTTCTGTTTTTTTTTTTTTTTAGTGGGTTTTTTTTTTTTTTTTTTTTTTTTTTTTTTTTTTTTTTTTTTTGGAATACCAACAAAAGATCCTGAAATAGTATAGGCATTAATAATACTGTTAGAATAGGATTTATTAGAATAGGAAATAATAATTGTATTCTTATTTATCTTATTTATTCCTTTTTGGTTGCTCAGAATTATGCCTGTAATTCCTCAGAATTATCAATATAAAAGGGGAATGAAATCTAACTCATTCCCTAACTTTTTCTCTTCTCTAAAACTACATGGTACCAGAGTCTAAACCCTAACCCATACCTTCTTCCTGTCTGCTGGCAGCTCTATTTTCCCTAGGAGCCCAGTCGACCGCAGTAGCCTCTCACCCAGGCCATCGTCTGTTATCCCACAGTCCATCCAGGCCATCGTCAGTCTCCTAGGGGGTCTGTCGGCACTCTAGGGCCTCACCCAGGCCATCGTCAATCCACTAGGGGGTCTGTCGGCAGCTTCTCTGGCATCCTAGGGCTTGTCAACAGCCCTTTGGCGCCCTTAGCTTCTGTCGGCATCTCCTAGGCTGCCGTCGACTCTCTCCCAGTGTCGACTCTCTCTCTCAGTATTCTTCTCTCTTTTCTTGTAATGGTTCATTAGTTATATTAAAAAAAAAACAAAAAAAAAAATTATGAGTTTCTAGTTACTATTGTGCTTGTTCCTCCACTCTCATCTTCCGGGTTTGTGATTGGCATTGTGGTTAAGGAATAAGTTAGTAGCGTCCCCATGGCAGATTTGACTAGTGAATCTACTACCTCTCAGTCCTCTCAGGGCAAGAGTTCTGTCATCCCTTCTACTATGACCGATACCCTCCACCCTAGCCTTAGAATCACCGCCTCTCTATTCCATGGTCAGAATTAGCTCGCATGGTCGCAGAGTCTAACTATTTTCTTAAAGAGCAAGGGAAAGATTGGATATGTTGATGGGCGGGTTCAAGCACCCAATATCACCGACCCTCATTATGACTAGTGGGAGATCACCAATTCTCTGATTATGGGTTGGTTGATCCATTCTATAGTTTCGGAGATTGGAGAGAGCTACTTGTCTATAGACATTGCCTAGGATATTTGACAGGCCATATCCACTACTTACTCCAGGCAAGGGAACTTCTAACAGGCTTTCGAGTTACGTCGATTCATTGAAAGGTCGGTACAAGGTAAGCAGACTATCCTCCAGTATTTTACCTTCCTTAGCAATGGGTGGAAGCGGCTTGATCACCTTCAGGATTACAAGCCTGTCTGTCCCACTGATTCTGCTGATTACCGAAAGTTTGTGGTGCAAAAGCAAGTCTTCAAGTTCTTGGAAGGCCTAAATGTGGAGTATGATCCGGTTCGGAGCAGAATACTTGGAATGGATGTACTTCCTTCTCTCCAGGAAGCCTTTGCTTTTGTGTAGAATGAGGAGAGTCGCCATTCTGCGATGCTTCCTTCTGCTACTATTGATCGCTCGGCGTTGGTTTCTGCACCATCTTGCGTTGGCAACCGTGTGACTCGTGGTTCTTGTCCTTCCTCTGAGAAGGATAACCTTTACTGTGACTACTATTGTCAACCTCACCACACACGAGAGACTTGTTAGAAACTGCATGGAACTCCCTCTGGTAGCCGAGCGCGATTGTCCCGGTACTCGAGGGGGTTGGTTTGGTACTAGAGGCTATGGGGCCAATGCACGAGCCCATCTTTCAGACACTATTGAGCCACCATCTTCATCTCCAGTTGTCTCCTCCATTGCGAATGTTTCAAGGTTATCTGCCTCGAATTTTGAGATTGCTCTTCGCCACTTGCTATCCACTTATGCTACAGGTGCACCCTCTTCTTCCTTTACCAATTCAGGTAACTTGGTTTTCTCCCCATATGCATTGCTATCTCATACGATAGTACCATGGATTATTGATTCCGGTGCTTCCAACCATATGTCTGGCTTCTCTAATTTATTTTCAGAGTATAACCCTTCCTCAAGTCAAGAAAAAGTGCGTATTGCAGAGGGTACCATTTCGGCTGTGTCAGGGAAAGGTTTAATTCATGCCACCTCTTCCGTTCCTCTGTCTTCTGTCCTCCATGTTCCCAATTTCAGTGTTAATCTTTTATCTTTGAGTCGTATCACCTGTGACTTAAATTGTAGCGCGACATTTTTTCCTGATTATTGTCTTTTTCAGGATCTTATCACAAGGAAAAGGATTGGCAGTGGTAGAACATGGGCTCTACATTCTAGATCAGACCGACAAGCTGGCTCATTCATCTATTCAGTTACCATCCACCAAGGAAGACATTTGGTTGAGGCACCGTCGCTTAGGACATCCCTCTTTTTTATTATTTAAGCATTTATTTCCCTCTGCTTTTAAGAAAAATAATGTGTTAGATTTTTTATGTGAATCTTGTCAACTTGAAAAACAACACCGAGCCTCTTTTGCTCCTTCTATTAATAAAAGTTTAGTTCCATTTTTTTTAATTCATTCTAATGTATGGGGTCCATCCCGTTTTGTGTCTTTAACCGGTCATAAATGGTTTGTTACCTTCATAGATGATTGTTCCAGGGCCACTTGGGTTTATTTGATGAAAAATAAAAGTGAGGTTTTTTCTGTGTTTCAAAACTACCATAAAATTGGTTTGTACTCAGTTTGCGGCGGTTGTCAAAATTCTACATTCTGAGGATGGAGGGGAATATATTGACTCTGGTCTTGCCACTTACTTCGCCACACATAGCATTATTCACCAGACTTCATGCACTAATATCCCTCAACAAAATGGTATTGCAAAATGCAAAAATTGCCATCTCCTTAATGTCACCCATTGTCTATCACTTGAGATGCGGGTTCCTCGTTCCTATTGGGGGGAAGCGGTTCTCACTACCGCTTATTTGATTAATCTTCTTCCTACCCAAGTCCTTCAAAAACAAACACCTCTTCAGGTTTTGTTCGGGTCTACCTCTTCTGGGTTCTCCATTTCTCCTAAGACCTATAATTGTGTTTGCTTTGTCCAAAATCATTCTCCCACTCGTGGTAAATTGGATCCTAGGTCACTTAAGTGTGTTTTTCTGGGTTATTTTGCCACCTAAAAGGGTTATAAGTGTTATCACCCTCCCACTCGCAAATGGTTTGTCTCCATGGATGTCGCATTCTTTGAGTCTCAGCCTTACTTTCTACCTTCCCTGGTATCCCCGTCATCTCTTCAAGGGGAGTCTTGGTGTGAAGAGATTCCAATTCTACCTGTTTCTCTTCTGTCAATGGTTGAACAGATAGAGGATAACGGACCAGCAGTTGTTGAGGACAAGAAAGAAGACAAAGTTTATATCAGGGACAAGGACAGACAGCAAGTCACTTGGATGCAAGAGCCTACTCTCCCTCCACTACTACCAACTTCTTCTCCGGATAAGTGTCCAGAGTCAACCTCATCTCTTACGAGTCCAGTTAATTCTACTTCTAGTACTCCTATTCCTGATGTTTCAAATCTTGATGTTCCCATTGCTAATAGGAAGAGAGTTAGGTCATGTACTCAACATCCTATTACTAGTCATGTCTCTTATTCCAATCTGTCTTCCTCATATAAAGCCTTTCTGTCTAAAGTGTCTTCTGTGAGTCTACCTACCACTTTTCAGGATGCTCTCTCCCTTCCTGAATGGAAACATGAGATAATGGAAGAGATGAGAGCTCTCAACAAGAATGGCACTTGGGAGTTAGTGGAGTTATCTAGAGAAAAAAATCAGTCGGGTGTAAGTGGGTGTACACGGTAAAACATAAAGCAGATGGTTCCATAGAACGGTACAAAGCAAGATTGGTTGCTAAGGGCTTCACTTAGACTTATGGGGTAGATTACCAAGAGACATTTGCACCAGTTGCAAAGATGAACTCTGTGAGAATCTTACTCTCTCTTGCTGCAAATTTAGATTGGCCACTTCATCAGTTTGATGTGAAGAATGCCTTCCTTCATGGAGACTTAGCAGAAGAGGTCTATATGAAAATTCCTCCTGGTTTTGCGAATGCCAAATCCAAAGGTAAAGTATGTAAGCTCCGAAAGTTGCTTTACGGACTAAAGCAGTCCCCTAGGACTTGGTTTGAAAAGTTTGCTCGTGTACACGGTAAAACATAAAGCAGATGGTTCCATAGAACGGTACAAAGCAAGATTGGTTGCTAAGGGCTTCACTTAGACTTATGGGGTAGATTACCAAGAGACATTTGCACCAGTTGCAAAGATGAACTCTGTGAGAATCTTACTCTCTCTTGCTGCAAATTTAGATTGGCCACTTCATCAGTTTGATGTGAAGAATGCCTTCCTTCATGGAGACCTAGCAGAAGAGGTCTATATGAAAATTCCTCCTGGTTTTGCGAATGCCAAATCCAAAGGTAAAGTATGTAAGCTCCGAAAGTCGCTTTACGGACTAAAGCAGTCCCCTCCCCTAGGACTTGGTTTGAAAAGTTTGCTCAAGCTACGCCAAAATATGGATTCAAGCAAAGTCAAGTTAATCACACCTTGTTTGTAAAACACTCCACACATGGTAAGACCACAGCTCTCATTGTTTATGTTGATGATATTATTCTGACAGGGGATGACGTTGAGGAGATCCCTCGGTTAAAGGAATACTTAGCCAAGGAGTTTGAAATCAAAAACTTGGGTTGTTTGAAATATTTCTTGGGTATTGAAGTAGCTAAGAGTAAGGATGGCATCTTTGTATGTCAAAAAAAGTATGTGCTTGACTTGCTAAAGGAAATTGAACTGCTTGGAGGTAGACCATGTGATACACCTCTAGAACCAAGCCAGAAACTTAGTGAGGATCAAGAGGGAGAGCCAGTGGACAAGGAGAGATACCAGAGACTAGTGGGCAGGCTCATATATTTATCCCACTCACGTCCAGACATTGCCATTGCCATTGCCGTGAACATGGTAAGCCAGTTTATGCATGCTCCTAGAACTTCCCACTTAGAGGCAATTATGAGAATCCTGCGATACCTGAAGTCTGCTCCTGGAAACGGTCTCTACTTCTCAAAAAATAGCCATTTCAGTGTGGAAGCATTTACTGATGCAAATTGGGCAGGATCAGTCACTGACAGACGATCAACTTATGGATACTGCACATTTGTTGGTGGCAACCTAGTCACGTGGCGAAGTAAGAAACAGAATGTGGTTGCTTGATTTAGTGCTGAGGCAGAATTCAGGGCTATGGCTTAGGGGATATGCAAGTTACTATGGATTAAATTATTGTTGGGAGACTTAGGAATTCATCAGACTAACTCCATGCGACTATACTATGACAACAAGGCCGCAATCAACATAACTCATAATCCAATTCAACATGATAGAACTAAGCATATGGTGATTGATAGGCACTTCATCAAGGAAAAACTCGCTAGTGGCACTATGTGTATTCCGTTTGTGAAGATTAGGGACCAATTAGCTGATGTTCTCACCAATGGACTAGGGAGCAAATCCTTTCATGGCATTCTCAACAAGCTGAGTATGAGAGATATCTTCGCACCAGCTTGAGGGGGGTGTTAGAATAGGGAATTGTTAGAATAGGAAATATTAGAATAGGAAATAATAATTGTATTCTTATTTATCTTATTTATTCCTTTTTGGTTGCTCAGAATTATGTCTGTAATTCCTCGAAATTATCAATATAAAAGGGAATGAAGCCTAAGTCATTCCCTAACTTTTTCTCTTCTCTAAAACCGCAAACACTTCTCTAACAACCACTTCAACATCTCAGGAATCTGAAGGTAAGAAATTTCCTTCAGCATTATATTAAGTGTGGATTATCACAAACACTAATAGGCAATGTATCCCACCATAAATTATGAGAAGGGAATGAAAAAAAACTGGAAAAATAATCATGTAGGTTCTGACATAATTCTCCTAAATGGGGTAGCAACCAATATCAGCATCAAAACAAAAGGACAAAATATATGAACCAATATCAGCATCAAAACAAAAGTTCTAACATGATTCTCCTAAATTACACTCCCAAAAAAATGAAAAAAAGTAAAACAAAGCTAAACATAACAAGAGATTCAATATCAGCATCTCCCATGCACCCTCTGTCTTCAGAAATATAAACCTATGAGAACCTTGCCCATATAGCATGCATTTGAATCCAACAATTATATAAAACAGGCCTAATAACAACAGAAAAACAGAAGCAGGAGGGCAGGGAGAAACAGAAAGAAAAAGACCGAAGCAAAACATATCACTAAAGAAAATAACAACATGAATGCAAGATTACAACAAATAACCTGAGGTGATGACACAATAGTATGTAAGCATGGGAATAAAACAGGCACTAGTGTTGGCACCACCGTATCATCCAAGTCCCCTGAGAGAAGAGCCAAGCATCTTAAAGCCCCGTGCACTGCACAATTTGAGAACAAAAATTACAGATCTGCAGCAAAACTTGTCAAAGACCCCTCCAATGACCAAAGGCTCATGACAAACAATTTGTAACAGCCAAACAAGATAATATATTCATTGCGAACATGCACAAATTATTAGGGAAAAAGCATATTTCATGAGCATATTGTTTGTCTTCTTCAAGGAGGAAATTAGATAGAGATGCAATGGCCCTAAGGACTTAATTGTACAATGTGTTAAAATATATACCTTGAGCAAATAGAATCTATCCGTTGTTTAGCTCTTTTTCAAAGTTATAGAGTTGGAGTTGATAATATATTAAGCATTTTGATGGACTACTACCTAATAGTGTAATCAAAAAGTGCAGCAGCACATCAGTCCCTATTGCTGCCAAACAAATGTTGCACATGTTAGCCGTTTTGATGGAAACAAAACGAAATTTTGTTTCTTGCAAGGAGATAAGTACATATTCAAGATATGATCGACATGTGTGCTGAAACCACTTGTATTGTCGGAATCAGGATTCCTTATGGCTGCGTCCATTGAATTTCCATATATAAGGTGAAAATTTTACCGAGGTACTGGATGTAAGTTCTTCTTGGGTGTTGTATTAATATCATTGAATAGTGGTTTATCTTGCTCAGCTAGGTGCCCACGTTTTACCCTCTTAAGAGGATTTCCATCTAAAAATATGTGTTTACTTGTGTAACTGCACACAGAATTTAAATTGGTTGAAATGTTGTCAAAATCTACTTGCATCCACCTAGGGAAAAAAATACAAGGTTTTTTTATTAGTTGAAAATAAAAAATAAAAAATAAAAATAAATAAAAGAAGCATTGCACAACCATTTCTAGAATAAATAGATGCAATTAAACAAAAAGGATCCAGACAACGCACACTAAAAGAACCGGCGGTCATGGAAACTCAAAAAGAATGGGTAAAGAAAGGACCATAGGCAATCGTACGAAATTTAGATCACAATACACAAACTAAAACTACTAAGACGTAGAAGAAGTCACAGCAGAATAGACTGAACAAAAATATCCCGAGAAAGATCAGGACATAGTATATGTTACCAGAGATTATGAAGCATCCATGCATAAAAGAAGTTTACACTGGGCTAAGTGAAACAAATATGCACCAAAGGACTTACCTCCATTAATATTAGTTTGATCACTTATCAACTTTAGGAGGAGTGGCATTAAGTCAGGCCAATCCTCGGGCCAATCATAATGCGCAATGGATGCCACAGCCATACTAACTGCCGTACAAATTTTTCTTTGAGAGTCATCCAACAACAATAATAGAATTCTACGTATGGCTGCCTGATAACAAGACCTCAAACTTAGAGAGCCATGCATAAAGAAGGCAAAAACAGGAAGAGAGAATTGGGGGCAAGGGGAGTTTAATGTTAAACAAGCAATAAATTAAGAAGGCAAAAAGATCTACGAATTCACTTAATGTTGAAACAATTAAAACAATGTTATCCATGTATAGCACACACCATGAAACCTTTTCTTAAATAATTTGACCAGATCACAATTCATCAATGAAGTACAATTAAGAAGGAACGGGTATAAACTGCAGCATCATATGACTTCATATTAACATATCAAGGTACCCTTGCAGCAATAACCCCCATGAGGATATTAAGTCCAAAATAACACGTAAATCTGGAGTTAAACGTCAATAAAATCCAAAATTTGCAACATTGAACAACTGATTGCCAACTAGGCAACATAAAGTAGACCAGAATCCTTTTTTCAAACATGGAAAGAAAGTGAGAGTGATCGAGCAATAGAGGAATATTGAACCATGTTTGTTTAGTTAATTTTTTATTATGGGAATAAAGAAAGAGAAGTATGAAACAGAAGAGGAAGAAAAAGGTCAAGAGATAAAACCATTAGTGACAAGGGAGTACAGTTAACAGGAGCTGCCTTGCTGTAACTTGTATTGTAGTGAATGGTTTTCTGGATTCTTTCAAAAGAAAAACTGTCACAACTAACAAAATTCTCTAACTGCTAAAGTTTAATTAGTGCATTGGGCACTGATCTAGATTCTGCCTAAAAACAGCAATATCTTTAGACTTTAACCAAATTCCTTCCCATGCATATATAAAATCCAAAGGCGGTCTTTTATCAACAACAAAAAAAAAAAAAATCCAAAGGCAGTCAGTCTGCCATGAATTATAATTTTAGTTCATCAAAAGCACTATATAAAATGAGAGAAAAGCCAACTTGGCATGTCTCTTGTGTGTCCCTTGCGTGTCCCCTGAAAATAAATTAATTAAGAGGAAAAGCTAAGTGGTGTGCCCCATACGTGTCCCCGCCATGTCCGCGTGTCCCCAAAGTGTCCGTGTCTCTGACACAAATACGGCACTTGTTTTGAAGTGTCAGCGTTTCATAGGATTAAAGGAATTCTGGTGAATTCTACATCTAAAATCTTGCTGACCCAATTTGGGATCCCAAGTCAAACCTTCCTCGGGAACAATAAATTAATTCATAGCAATAGCAACCAACTGCATCATCCCTCAAATGCCAAAAATTCTTCTCATCAGCAAAGGAGACAAAATTGAGATCCTACACAAATACCTCACCAAAAGGACATTTCATCATACTGACCATAGACACAACAGGCATAACCTCATTCCTCAACTAACTTATCAAACAAGTAAATGATTTTATTCTTCAACTGCCTGCAGTATGAAAACTTTTTTGCCTCAAGAAGTACAAAAACGTAAACATACTGTTATTGGCCTCAGAGTCCAACAATATATATGTTCACATAGCACATGGCTGCCTCTTTCTGGGCATTCCACACCAGAGAAATTATTAGCCCTCAAAGATCCACTCCTTTTGCCCACTAATCCAAAGACAAGAGTTTCAGTATAATTGATTATCAAATGTCTGTTAACACAGTGATCTGAAAAAAATCTTATTTCAAAAACCAAAACAAACAAACAAAAAAGAAAAGACACCATTTTAAAGTGAATCTCATAGCTTACGGATAATCCAAATAAATAAACAAATGACACAATTCAAAATATAAAAATTAAAAACACCTTTTCTTCACTTGAAACAACAGGATGTTCAAATGTCTCCTCATCCTCCTGCCAGTGTTTCTTAATGAACTGCTTTAGAAGGACAGCTGCTAGGTAAAAGCATGTTAAATCTCACAAAGTAATAATTATGATTTTAATTAAAAAAAATAAATAAATAAACATTACATATTTCTTTCATGGAAGGTTAGAAGAATGCAGCTGTGGATACATTAATATTTTCCTTCTGTGAAAAGAGAAAAAAGAAGGAATAGCTACAAATTATGTCAATTGTGACAAAAGGATATCTGGCGCAATCCCAATGGAAGTTCCCTGTTTGCAGCAACCTTGGCTAACGCACTTCCAAAACCTTCAAAAGAAGTAGACAAACATCAGTCAGTCGTAATTGTGACGCACCACTATGCAAATACTTTAAGACACCAGAAAAAAGCATGTAAACATACATGCAACTCCTTGAAACATCAAGCAAGCAAAGTGCTCCAACAGAGGCATGTAAATCATTGACTGGAGATGCCATTAGATATGAGAAGTAAATAGTGTAAGTGGAATACAAATAATTCGATGTACATAAATGATAAAATCAAATAAAATAAGCACACATACGACATACACATCAATAAAACAAATTTTCCACTAGGGTTAATTGTGAGTTTTGAGAAAAGAAAAGTTAAGGTATGAGTGGAATCTCAAACCCTTTTATATTAAATCATATAATTATAGGAGTGAGTTACGGCCTAAATAAAGGCCCATTACAGCAAATAAAGATACTGAATAAGAATAAAATAGAAAATATCCTAACACATTCTAACACTTCCCCTCAAGCTGGTGCGAAGATATCTCTCATGCCTAACTTGTTGAGAATGTCACGGAATGGTTTAGTCCCTAATCCTTTGGTGAGAACATTAGCCAGTTGATCGCCAGACCGCACGAATGGCGTACATATAGCATCACTAGTAAGCTTTTCCTTGATAAAATGCTGATCAATCTCCACATGCTTGGTCCTATCATGTTGAACCAGATTGTGGGCTATATTGATGGCGGCCTTATTGTTACAGTATAGCCTCATACAATCTGTCTAATGAATCCCCAAATCCCATAAGAATAATCTAATCCATAAAAGCTCACACACACCTTGAGTCATAACTCTGAATTCGGCCTCTGCACTAGATCTCACAACAACATTTTGTTTCTTGCTTCTCCAAGTAACTAGATTTCCTCCGACAAAGGTACAATAGCCAGAGATGGATCTTCGATCAGTTACAGATCCAACCCAATCAGCATCTGTATATGCCTCCACACTAAGATGACCATGCTTTGAGAAATAGAGACCCTTTCCTGGAGAAGATTTCAAATACTTCAGAATCCGCATAACCGCCTCCAAGTGAGTTACACGTGGAGCATGCATAAACTGACTAACCATACTCACTGCAATAGCAATATCAGGACGCGAATGAGATAAGTAAATAAGCTTACCCATTAATCTCTGGTATCTCCCCCTGTCTACAGGCTCGCTTCCTTGATCCTCGCTAAGCTTTAGTCCAGGCTTTAGTGGAATCTCACAAGCTTTACTTCCACGCATTCCTATTTCTTTTAACAAATCAAACACATACTTTCATTGACATATGAAGATGCCATCTTTGGACCAAGCAACCTCAATGCCTAGAAAGTACTTCAAGCTACCTAAGTCTTTAATTTCAAACTCATTAGCCAAATACTCATTTAACCGAGGAACCTCCTCAACTCATCCCCAGTGAGTACAATATCATTCACATAGACAACAAGAGTTGTCGTCTTACCATGTGAGGAGTGTTTCACAAACAAAGTATGATCAGCTTGACTTTATTTAAAACCATATCTCACCATGGCCTAAGTAAACCTCTCAAACCAAGACCTAGGAGACTACTTAAGGCCATAGAGTGACTTGCGTAATCGGCACACCTTTCCTTTGGTTTTAACATCCTCACAGCTTGGGGGAATGTCCATGTACATTTCTTCTTCCAAATCTCCATGGAGGAAAGCATTTTTCACATCAAATTGATGGAAAGGCCAGTCAAGATTAGAGGTAAGGGAGAGAAGGACTCTGACAGAGTTCATCTTAACAACAGGTGCAAATGTTTCCTGGTAGTCTACTCCATAAGTCTGAATAAAGCCTTTGGCCACCAATCTAGCCTCGTTACGTTCAATTAAACCATCAGCTTTGTGCTTCACAGTGTACACCCACTTACATTTAACAAGTCATTTGCCCTTAGGTACCGCAACCAATTCCCAAGTGCCATTTTTAGCAAGAGCTCTCATCTCCTCCATCATGGCATGTGTAGACACCCCATTTTTGACCGCCCTTAAGACTTGGGCGCTACTGATGGTTTGCTCGATGATGAAAGGTGTGCAGGGCAAATGTTCAGTTTCTTCGGAAATGAGAGAGGCAAATCCTTCAAAACACTTTGTTCAGGGGTTTGGAGTTGAAGAAGAGAGGAAAGGAGAGGAGAAAACTAGTTTGGGAGAAGTTCGGCATGAATCCGGGTAGAAGCGAGTCGAGCAGCCCTCGCTGAATCGGGCTTATCTGTCTGTACACTTGGAGTTTAGCTATGGGGCCACCACCGTCGGAAAGCTTACTTCCGGGGCTTCATTTTGCACTCAAGAATCTCTTAAAGCCAAGCCCGGGTGGGGGAGATATGATCAGTTGAAGTTGGACATCATCCCGGTTGGATCGAATCTGCTCGGCTTCACCAAAAAGGGCATAACTTTTTGCACAGGACGAATTTTAATGCAAGGTTTGCGCCATTGGAAAGCTAACTTTCGGGGCTTCAATCTAGACACCCACCGGCCTTTTTTTTGACCTTGGAAGCACCTATCGGCAATCTATTTATCCGACCGGCAATTTATTGTGCCGACCGGCAATTTATTGTGCAGACCGGCAATTTTTGCTGGCCGACGACCTTCCGGAGTTTTCTACAGATTGAGTGGATGCCAGCTGTGCCAGTTGGAGGGCACAGAATGGATCCTCCATACACGTGTATGGAAGATCTTTGCTCTTAGTTTGAAGCTTCTAAGAGAAGTCTTACTCCCTTGGCTCTATAAAGGAAGCTCTCCTCTTCCTTATACTAGGTTGAAAAAACCAGCTGGGATTGAGATATACATCCCTCCATATATCTCCCTCCATCTCTCTCTTTCAAGCTCAAGCATCCAAGTCCCTTGCATCATTCCTTCATCACTACCAAGCACCACCACCACTACTCCATTCCAGCAGATAGGAGTGGCTTTCCAGCAGCTAAGAGGCAACATTTTTCAGTCCTAGAGGCAGCAAAGGTTGGGTCTTCAAGGGTGAGCACTCTTCTCCCTCTTTCTAGCTCATTTCTTGCCTCATGTGCAGTTTACATTCGTGCTATTTTGCGCA